AAAAAAAAAAACCTCATCAAAATGTTCTTATGCTGAAAAAATTCATGACTACCATCCCAGGCAGAAGACTTTTTCTTTTTAACATACAAAGTGTATGTATGCACAGAATTCTTTGATTCTACTATAACTGGAAAATACAATAGATACCTGTTCTTTAAGAAGTTTCTGCCTTAGTAGCTCCTTTTCTTGTTCTTGTTTGGCCCGCAATTCCCGTTCTTCTTCATCTTGTTTGCGTGCTCGGGCCACATGGTACTGGGCCTGGCTCAGTAAGTCAGAGCACTGCCTAGAACATTTCAGATTTAGAGAAACATGAATGCAGCTAACACACTTTGTTCAAAAACACAGAGTATCTATTTTCCTTACACAAATTTAAAAATTTGAAGCATTAAAGACAATTAGCTGATATCTATGTGAAGTCTTAATTAGCAAAATTAACCTAGTCTATCACAAGCCAACATTGTCAACTATGCTAATATAAATGTCCCCCCAAAGCATAGCTAAAAAGATTTCCAACATTATTATCTTCACATATGACTCAAAGAGTCAAGAATTGTATCTTGACTCTTGGAGATATAGGTGATATTACTGAAATAGAAAAGTACTTTCCCCTACAACCTAAGTACTTGTACTAAGTCAATTTTGCCAAATACCGTAAAAGGAAAAGTTTTGGTACAGGTTAGGGAGTCCCTGAGAGAGTGTGAAAGACTGACCCCTGGAAGGCCAGGAATCCTTCCCTATTCACTACTATGTCACTCTCCCAGCCCACACCAATATCACTGCCTCACCCAAAATCACCTTCCATAAATAATAACATTACCTGGCTTCTGTAGCAGCAAGAGCCAAATCGAATCTCATTTTATCTCCCACTTTACTCAAGTAACTAAAGTATCTAAATGGAATGAGAAAATAAGATACTTTACTTTAAAAAAAGATTCTCATGAAATAAGGCCCTTTAAATTTTTAAACTTCTACGAAATAGTCTAAAAAAAGACTAACATATTGACTGATTTACATGAATTTATTTAATGCATAAAAGGCAATCACCTTAATAGAAAAACTATATATGCAACTCACTTAAAAAAAAACTCTCATCAATAAGCCACTAGGTATGTTTAATAAAAGACATGTTTATCAATATAGATAAAGTTATATTTAATATTATCAGTAAATTCACCAATAACCAAAAATCAATTCAAGCAGTGAAGAGTTATTAAACATTAAATTTACTAAATGTGTCAGCATGGAGGTGAGGGGCACAAGCCATGAAAGCACTTACAATTTACCAGGCAAGGCAAGAAATATTAAACAAGAATTCATACAAGGTTAGACAAAACCTAAACTTTAGGTATTAATTTATCACACAGTGAATTAACAAATAAATACAATAAGGTTAAATAAATTTGGGGCTGAGCTGAATAAACCCATTAAGTAGTATTTAAGAGGTAAGACCTTAATCCTAGCT